TTCTTTTTATCCCACTCTCTGACACCAATTTGTTACGTCTCCGTTTGTTAATTAACTTTCCGTAACTTCGTTCCGACGAAACTTAAGCGACACAACTCCTTTCTTAATAAAACTAGTTTATTCTTTCCGAAAATAACTCTGCGATACACTTAATCTCAATATTCGCGCTAAAACAAACAGTATCACGAACGAACGTTAACTTCAACAATACTCTGTGACTGCAGTTCAATTACTCACTGTCTACACACACATTACCTTACATTACCGCGTCACGTTTTCCCCTCTTATATATATATACCAGCCTACCCTACTAGTAAATACTAGACCATTCGCCAAGATACGGGATAGTTCTAGAAACAAGAGAGCGTGAGAATTGTCACGTGATCTCGATGACGCAACATATCGTTTTGTCCAAACACTCTACTGGATGTGTGGACAACAGTACTTCCAATAGTTGTGTTATTTCAAACGAGTTCTTTCCTGTGTATCGAACAAAAGGCTAAAGAAAAGCCTAATAAGCAACATAAGGTCGTTATTGGGATTTTATTTTAAGTGATGAAACAAAGAAAAATATCTTAAATGCTGATTGTTTGTTTTTTATCGCACAGCTACATAATGGGTTATCTGCGCTTTGTCAACGTGGGAAATTTAGTGTGTAAGATGAAAATGGTCATAACCACATGGACACAACCAAAAATCCTTCAGAGATAGTTATATTTTTCTACATTGGTTAAACGACATTTCTACAAACTTTGTGTGCACTAATGCCCAAAATACTGCCCATAGAAATGAAGCCTATAAAATATTCTATCCCTAAGCTTCACTGGGTCTCTGTTTGGTCAGTGCCTTCAACCCTGCTGCCCTTTATCTTCTCTGCTGGACAGCAGACAACACGGCCTTTAGCCTCGTCTCATTCTTCTCTCTCTACAAGCTGGTTATCATATGGATTGCAAACTAGCTCCGACATACATGAGTTAACACGGGTTAGATGATGCTAACTGTTTAGAGCCATTCTTTCAGTTACAAGTTTAGTATATTACTTTTGATGCCACTTATAAAATTTTCACCACACAGGTATTACTTTCAACTGTTCCCATAGTACACTTGCAGCCTATACATGCATTATTATTACTCCTTATACTGAAACAATGTCAAGAAAACATTCAATAAAACTGTTTACTTCTTAAATATATCTTAACTTCGAGATTAAACAATTTTCAGAATACCAAGTTTATTTAATGTATCTGCTATTGTGTGGCTATATAATGTGAAGATCTGAAGAGTGGCTAATGACACTTTTTCTTCATTTCACCTATCCAGTTGTTACGACAGCGGAAGTCACGTGACCCTGGTAACACGTAATGAGTATCTCGAACGTTCCTGAAGGCTCGAGCGTTTCCTAGACTCGCGCTTTTATAGAATATAAGCCGGCAAATAAAGTGACGGCAACAATTGAATTGCAGACAGAGAGATATAGAGATAGATAATCGAGTCAAGCCGTAGGTAAAGTACGTGAATCGTTGTGAATTCTAGCGTGTGTTTAAGTTAAAGTGACTGTGGAAATTCTGTGTATTGCAAAGTTGTACTGAGGAAGAATAAACTAGTTTTATTTAAGAAAGGGCTTGTATCGCTGAAGTTCCTCGGGAAGAATAATTTACGGGAAATTATCAAACGAACAGAGACGTAACACAGTGTAACGGTATTTCTAATAGTTTGTTTAATATCTTAACCTGCATGACTGAACCTATTCTATTATAGATAAATAAAACAATGGGTATACCAAGTTTAAACTTGTCTAAACTATTGTTTGGGGATTTTATTTACTACTGATAATTTTATCCACTAAGGAATGTTTCAATTTGATGCAATCAAAATATCTACTCTTTCTAAAAAACGCTGTGTAAAATTTTGTTTACTCTCTAAATGTAGTACCAATTGATTTGTTAGTTTTATATCTTGTCTGAAAATTCACTACCTTCTGAAAATTTCAA